TTCTTTTTGACTCTTGAGACTGTCCTGAACTTCACTGAATTTTGAACAGTCCTTTTATTATTTTTCTTCTCATTAGCTTCAGCCCGATCTGAAGGAGCTCTACGAAACTCTCAATCGACTGAATCTTCTGCCATCGGATTTCGAGGGCAAGAAAAAAGTCCGATCTTGGTGAGTGTCCTATTTGTTTGTCCTTTTACATCCAACCGGATGCGCTGAAGATACTCAGATAGCTTCTAATTCTTGACGGTGTATTTGGGGCAGTTGACTCGACTATCATCCGTATTGATGGAAGCGAGCAGGCGAAGCACTTCAGAAGAAGATTCAAGCACTGAAGCATGACTTTGATTGGCCTGCTGTTCCGAATCTTTGTTCTCGAACCCATCATCAGAAACGGTGACAGATAAGGACGCCAGGACGCTGCAGCCGTAAGAAACATGTGACGTTGTTTACGGGCTCCCAGTATGCTCTCTGGTTGATACACCAGTTTTAAAGTTTCAGCTTGTTAATTTCCTCAGAAATTAATTTTGATTATTATTATTTAGGGGGTTCGGCAGATTTGCTTAATTTAGTTGGCCCGGGTGGGTAAAATCGATCCAAGTGAGAATAAATTCACGGCGCAGGCGTGCGTGGCGTCGTAGCTCAAATCGGTAGAGCGTTGGCTTCGCGTAAAGGCCTTCCCTTCTGTGCGGGTTCGACTCCCGCCGACGCCGCCAATTTTTTCACAATTGGGTCAACTTAATTTGGTTATTATGCTCGAGAGCCTACAGACGCAGACCGAGATTTCCTGCAAATATTTCAGCCGAATTTCATCAGCCATTGTGGAATAACCGCATAATATTCTAAAGCTGCCAACAGGCAGAGAGTAAATAAGGAGTAGCCGATGCGATCGCCGAGACAAACTTTTTATTCGCCTGATGTTTCGAATTCCTTCGTAAACCCTTCCTCGGAGACAGTAGCAGAAACAAATAATTCATATACAGGGGGTTGTAGTATTTATGTTTTACAGTAGTATGACTTGCGTAATTATTTACCCTATTGACAGCACAGGTACTAAATAAAAGTCCAGATACACGTGTTTCGCCGATATTCTGCCACTGCATGGCACAGCTGCGAAGTGCTCGGCTCATCAGTGGTTCTCCCAGCGTCCCCTGTGGGCTTTCTGGGAGATGCTTCAGTTTTCAGATTGGGTCATGCACTGCCAGGGCTTTTGGCTAGGACGTGTGTCGCCAGCATGACAAATAATTACGTAAGTGCTGTCTCTGGTGATGATGATGAATGAAAATCCGAAACATCAGACCATTAAACTTCTTGTTTCAGCGATCGCATCT